CCCCAGGATCCAGCAAGTGTCCTCCATGTCCCTGAGAGAATCCACCCCCACCATGCACAATCCTCACTGTCAACACTGCAGCGCCCCCTGCAGGCCTGGTCACTCCCACTCGGCTGCCCTCCCACTGCCTCCAGAGCTGCCAGCTCTCCACCAGCCATAGAACCACGACATCTCCAGCCACACATGGGGATGGAGAATCTCCCCTTCCCCTCTCACTCTGCCCCTCTCCAGCACTGGCATCTACACCCCTCAGGGTTCTTCCTGAAGCCAGCAGAGCTAGGTGGTCTGTGGACCCCTTCCTCTGAGGGGTTGGAGGGGACCGTGACCTTGGTTCTTGTCCCTCCATCACTGCCCCAGGACCTGTGGCACGTCCTGTTAGGAGCAGCCCCTTCTTCCCAGGGCAGGAGAGGCTCTGGGCCCAGCCTTTGTCCCCTCTTGAACTCAGCAGGACCACCAGGCCCAAGGCACTGACTCTGTGTCTCGTTGTCTTCCCTGGGCATGTGGCTATGGTGCTTCGGGTGGCGCTGGAAGTCACTGCTAGCGGGGAGGAAGGACAGCACCTGTCGCTCCCCAGGCCTCTCCCTGCCTGCTGCTGGCCGGGTTCTTCCTGGGCCCCATGGGCCTGGCTCTCCCTCCATGGTCTTCCCATCATCTCCAGGGAGCCACCAGCCCAGTGATGTAGCACTAGACCTCCCGGGTTGAGTCTGACAGGGCTTGGAGGCCGTGCTGAAGGCTGCAGCACCAGAAGCCCACTGGGCCGGGCAAAGGCGCCTGCTGCCTGGACTCTACCTGGTCTCCTTGACCTTGAATGCACCGCCCACCCCGAAGCAACCAGGGACCACTGCTTCCCTGCCCCAGAGTGACAGAAACATAAGGCACAAAGCTGAATCATGAATCGGTGTTGCTTAGGTCAGATTTTCAGTGCTTGCAGGTTCACATGATGCAGTCTAAGTAACAGTACCAGTTGTCTCCCAGGTTCGCGTCCTGTGTCTTCAGTTTTCCCTGGTGGAGTCTCCACCTGCCGCTGGCTTCCTTAGTGCCACACACACCATCCTCGCCTGCAGGGGTCCTCGCCGGGGCTCTGAGCAGTGAATTCCACTCCCGGTGCCGCCACCTACCGGTTGTCTGACCCGGGCAGGGCACCAAGGACACCTGAGACTTACATCCGCTGTATGGGCTGCAAAGTCTGTATTGATCTGGGTGAGGTTAACCGAGCCCGAGAACCCCTCTCCACCATAGCCCAGCATGTGCCGAAGCAGGAGCGCTGTCTCTCCGCAAGGAGCTGTAGAGTGAGGCCCTTTATCCTCCCTGCAGAGTGCCGTGTCACCACTCCATACAGGAAAACTGAGGCACACCCAGTGCAGCTCCTGTAGCAGAGCCAGGACCTGAGCCCAGGCAGCTGTGCCTCAGCCATCCTTCTGAGAAGTCCGGGAGGATAAAGGGCCTCACTCTACAGCTCCCTGCACACAGTAGGCCCTCAGGATGAGCTGCGGAACAGACCGGCTTGGTGCCTGTTCCTCCTGGGCGGCCTCCCAGGCCGGA